ACATCTTCAACTCCTGCTGTCAGCTGATCTTGTATAAACCAGAAACTTAAGTTGTGCGTGGGTAGGAGGCCGTTTTAATTTTGTTATCTGGCTCATTGTGATGCACCTTCACCTCTGTAATCAGGAGGTGGTGTGTTGTGTACATTGCAGTGAGGCTTGGGCCCTTGCCCAGCGATAGCATTGTACTACTGAAGGATGAGAAAGGTACTTCTACTTAGAGAAGGTGCTGATGAATGCATGGTACACTTCAGAGAACAATAGCCTGGCATCCACTCCTTCTCTCAAAACAGATTCTTGCTTAAAATGCTGATCAAGTTGGACAAGATAGAGATTTAAAATAAACGCTGCCAAAAAATTTGAAAATTTGAAATCTTAAATGTGAAGATTTCAAAATTAATCAGTATAAATCTACACACAAATATCTGTATGCACCCAGAAACAGAAATTTACAGATATATATATATAGCTAGATAGAGATATAGATATATAAACATGGATGGAAAGGCAATAGAGAAATATCAGTATAAACATCCAAAAGAAAACATGGAGTGGTCCTAGTATGGTATTTTTCTATTTTATTTCTGCTCCCCACCAAACCCCTGGCAATTTAAACTAAATAGCTAATCAAATGAGTTCAAAACAGATAATGCCACCTCCGTTGGGGGTTCTGCAATAGAACTGTATCAGTTAGCTTTATCCTCTCTGGAACGGCAAGTTCCATCTACTGTGGACTGTATGATAGCACTTAGTTTGCTATGCTAACAGCTCCTCCAACAGTGGGACAATTGCTTTTCTATGATCAAAACAAAAGCTAACTGTACTGCATAAAACACAGTAAATGAAATGCAGTAAATATATATAACAGAGATTTAAGAATAAAGCATAAGATTTCTTCCTAGAAAACATCCGAGCCAGTCCTTTCATGAAGGACTGGGCTTTGCATGTTTCCTCTTCTTTAATCCTCAACAAGTCTGCTAATGAGAAACTCCTGCTCATTCACAGTGGTAGTGCTGCTAACAGTGTACGAACTCCACCTTCCTCTCCAGTCGCTACACAAACACTGTGTAGGGTCAGTTCAGGAAAGACCTTTTCTATACACAGCACAGAGAAAATAGGACCACCACCCAGGTTCACACAGTTCACATGCAATGCAGAAACCGTGTGACCAAAGGAGTGTGTCCCCTCTGATGATAGGCATTACAGAACACACAGAAACTTTGTTACTGACTTGCTCAGTCCCTTAGTTCATTAGTACACACCCCACTCCTGGAAGTGTCCAAGGTCAGGTTGGATGGGGCTCTGAGCAACCTGAGCTAATCAAAGGTGTCCCTGCCCATGGCAGGCAGGTTGGAACTAAATCATTTAAGGTCCCTTCCAAACAAACCCGTTCTGTGATGATTCCATGATTTACATTACCCTAAAATTCCTGACTATCTGAACTTCATTACTCAAAATGACTGGTGCACACACAAATTTTGGTAGCTCACTGATCATGTCCTGTACCAGGCCACTTTGACTCATTCTTGATATTTAAAATTGGAGGACGATCCCCCTTCCTGGATGTTTTGTCTATTAACATTATATGATGGGAGAGAGGGAGGCATTGATCGTCTATGGTTATTTCTAAATTATCTATTACTGTGGACTCCCAACCTTGCTTGAAGGCCATCAGCGTCATCGTACAACAAACACAAAATAATTCACCTGTCAGTAATACTGCTCGTTTAGCCAACAAAATGTATATCTGAGATGGTACATCAGCACACTTACAGAGAGACTCAGTGCAACCATGTTTTCCCCCACGCTCCTAGATCTATAGTCCACAGTCTTACTAAATAAGATAACTCAAAATGCTGGATAAAGAGCATTTAGAGCATTAAATCTTAGATCTCATAGCTTTCTCCATCTCTCCAACCATCTTGGCAAAAAGAACCCGACTAAAACAAACAGAGAAAGACTGCTTGGCTAACACACATATGCTAACAGATTTTTATTATTATTTTTTAAAACTCATTTTCAGTGTTAAATAAACTGTGGAAAAAGGATTTGATTCATGGTTGCATTAGGAATCTACTCAACCAAAGCCCCTTGTCACAAATTAAATCATAAACTAAAAGTCAAACATGATTTGTGAAATTAACATTTATCGAGGAAATACTCCCCAGCGCTGCGTTGTGATTAGTCTCTGGCTTCTGAAATATCACCCATAATTCATGAGCTCCTCTGAAACCATGCCACTGCTGTTACTGCTGAGATGGCATGCATGATGGAAAGGTGCTGCCACCACCAGAGAGCAATCCCTTTTTTTGATGCTGGTGATAACCAGAGGTCACCATGTCTATTACTTGGGAAAGTACATGCACACACACTTCTCGGCCCCCACACGCTTGTAATACCTCACCCCTCCATAGGCACTCTCTTCCACGTCTCAGATTTATCCAAGGCCACAGCTGTTTCTAATTCTGAACATGGAAGCTTGGCAGGAGCTCTGCATTGTGCCCTTTCTTTAAAATAGTGACTAATAAAAAATGAAACATAATTAACAGTCATTGGTTCTTTCAGAATCAGTGTCTTTCAGCAGAGGGTGCCTTTTCAGGGGGATTCAGACAGCTTAATCTTACAGGCAAAGGAGCTACAGCACAAAGCAGACTTAGTGATTGTTAAAGGCTAAATGGTCACTGGGAAAGCATGCTTTGGAGCCCAACATTTTTAGAAGCCAGGATATCCAGATACAGCTTAAAGATATGGGATGCTTTTCTTTTCAAGGTGATCTTCATCAGGAAGATATTTTTCTGCCAAGAAATGCAGTATTTTTTTTGAAATAATGGTGTAACACCATCCCCACTGCTCTGAGCACTAGATATCTTTCACAAGGAGTAGAACAGCCCCCAAGTCTTTTGGAGTAAAGAAGGAGAGGTCAGTTCAGCTGCTGGCTGCACAGGCATCTAGAGCATTAATAAAGCTTCAGCAGCTTTAAAACACATCCCCTCATGGCCCTTCTCCTGCATGTATTCATACATTGTCACTGCTGCTAAAGTATACCACACCTATCTGGAACACATCAGCTCTACGCTATGTTTATGTTAAGTGTGTGCATACCTAGGATTACACAACATAGAAACAAATAAAGATCACAAAGAGGAATATTTTCTCTATCTTAATCAAAAGAAAGCCTTGGGCCTCATCCTACCCCCCCGTTAAACCAGAATACAGAGGAATGCACTTTCACCAACGGTGCCTCTCTTTTCAGGATTAAAGGAAAACTTACTCCCTGTAAAGCCTGATATTCCACTGCTACCCTTCTGCACACAGAAAAGGCTGTGTTAGATCTGGGCCTCTGTCCTCAGCTGGGGTAAACTGGGCTTCATGGAGCCATGACCATTTATGCCACTGAGGACAGAGCACTGAGCATGCAGCTCTGAGAACACCTGAGCCAGCTTCCACCCAGTGCCTGCACAAGCTCTTTCTGGCAACTGCATTTCACTGTGGATAGCAGGCTCTGCCCCAAAGGAGTGTGGGGAATCCAAAAGAAATTACTGCCTGCTCTACTAAGCTAACCCTTAGGCAAAGAGGTCTCACTTCTCAGAACAGGAATTCATTGCTCCAGTAACAAGACTGGCTGAATAGTCCATAAGGGACTGTTACTTCCATTCAACACACTTTCTTTAAATAAACAGTCATTCCCTTCTTGTGTTGTGACATTAAAAAGAAGTCAGCAATGGATAGTGGCTTTTAAAAACTGTTTAACCTTCCTTTAACCACTCTCTTCTACTTGTAATAACCTGTTAAAAAGCTGAAAATAACACTAAGTTCCCTACTGGGTCACCATTTTCCATTTGGAGAACATTGATTTTTTTTCCTGTTGCACCGAGATTAATGTGGCCTGTTTGTTTGACAACAGATTCAACATATCTAGTGCCCTAAATAAAGCTAAAATGCTTGTCTGTGGACAACATCCCTGTCTAGCACTGGTAATGATCTTGGGAAAAAAAATCTTAAAAAAAAAAAAAGCTTTGCTACATAACTGTTACTACTGAACCATCAGGAGATTTCACTGGCCCTTAAAACCAAAAACTGTTATTGATCGGGAAAATTTAAAACACTTTTAATGAGAGTTGAGGGTTTCAATGAAAACTGTTAGGCAAAGGAGGTTATCCAAATTATACACTGTAAGACTATTACAGCTTTGATTCAAAATGGTTCCAGATCTTACACGTACAAACCTTTCTCCTCTTTTGCTGTTTGATAGAAAATATTGGTTTGTCCTCTCTCCTCCATTTTAAGTAAAAAAAGAAACAGCATATAAGTAAAGGCTCACTCCAAAGAAGACACTGAGGTGCTGGAGCACGTCCACAGAGGGACAACAGAGCTGATGAAGGGTCTGGAGCACAAGTCTTATGAGAAGTGGCTGAGGGAGCTGGGGCTGTTTAGCCTGGAGAGGAGGATGCTCAGGGGTGACCTTATCACTCCCTACAACTACCTGAAAGGAGGCTGTAGACAGGTTGGTCTCTTGTCCCAGTTAACAAGTGACAGGATTAGGGGAAATGGCCTTAAGCTGCAACCAAGGGAGGTTTGGATTGGATATCAGGAAAAATTTCTTCACTGAAAGAATGGTCAGGCATTGAAACAGGCTGTTTCATTTCCAGGGAAATGGTGGAATCACCATCCCTGGAAATGTTCAAAAAACATGTGGACCTGGCACCCAGGGAGATGGTTTAGTGGTGAGTATGGTGGCACCGGGTTAATGGTTGGATGATGATGTTAGATATATTTTCTAATCTTAATGATTCTATGAAAGTACAGAGAAAATGAGAAAAACCAGGGAAATAATGAGTGTTCATTCCTCATCCAAGTACCAAATATCACACAGACACCAGCAGAGGGTGAAAACACACCTGTTCCATTCTTCCAGAAATGTTACCAAGTTCCAAACCCCTGATCTCCCTCCCTTCCTTCCTCCTTCCCTTCCCTTTTCTCTGGCAAAAGCCAGTAATACCTACAAATATTTTTTATTTTCGTAAACATCATGCAGCTTTAAAACGTGGGGATGTTCTATCAACTTCAGGATGGCTATTTCCCGCTCCACCTGGAAGAAAGAAAAAGAAACAGAGAAGGTTAGAAGCTTGGTCTCAGAATACATTAGATATCATCACACATTTTCTTCTCATTTATTCATTTTCCACTCCTCTTTATACGCAGAGGATATGGAAAATTGTAACAATGCATCTTATTTAGCACTCACGTAACTTAAGAAAAATTCAATTTTTTCAGTCTCAGCACTCCCTGCCCTGCAGAACAGAAAACCAGCAAAATTTCAAGGTTGAAGGAAAAGTCCCAAATCTACAACAGAAAATTAGCTGTGGGAGTTAAATGAGCATTCAAGGCTGCTCCTGCCTCACAATCCAAAGCCAATGACATATTCTCAAAGCACAGAAACTCTTAAGATGTCATGTAGGGCTCTCCTGACCTTCCACAGCCATGTTGCACTATGTATTGCATACTCAACTAATATACCCATCCTGAAGAACTTGCCATGTATGCAGGGGAGAAGACAAACAGGAATGTGAATTTATAGCTGCAGAACTGAGACACAGAAAGGGAAAGAAATATAAGAAGTGACATAAGAAGTACAAGGCACAACAAGAAATTAAGCCAGATTACTGGAGATGCCAGTGTTCAGAGCCTTAAGCGTAAGACTGTACTTTCTCTTAATTCCCAGTCTGTCCAAGTATGGCTACTTCTAAGAGAATGTCTTCAACACGGAGTTAACAAGTTGTGACTAAGTCCCTGTAATTAGTGCAAGCCTTGTTCTCACCCCAAATTCCTATTGTGACTGCTAAGGGTATTCTTTAGAGACAGAGTCAGTGCAATTCCGAAGCTCCTGGCAAAATTGCTCTGCTGCTCGAAACCACTGTAACCACTCTGATTTGACCTAGGCTGAGTTGAAGGGACTTAATGTAGCACTGCAGAGACCTCAGATAAGTGAAGTAAACTCTGCAACAATACAGTCGGGCACAACAAGTTTCTAGGAATCCACAAGGCAGGGATAAGACCTAAAGAAGCAAACAAAGATAACTAGGTAGGGTTTTTTCCAGTCCTTCAAATAACTGATTGCCCTGGAGCTGCTATATTAACAAACAAAACACAAGCAAACTACAAAACCATTCCTTACTATCTTCCTTGCAGGGATCAGACAAGTAATTAGGAACTCGCCCCAGTACACCTTCAGTTCTCGATGTCCTTTAACTTCCTGAGAGAACATCCTCTGCTATAAGCCTGAACAAAGACTTTACCTGAATGTCAGTAAGATACACTGCAGGAAATTAGAAAAGTGGTAGTTTTCAGGACTGTGCAGAGGAGGAGGATTTCCCAGCATGCTGGTTATCACCCCAGATCTCTCTTCCTCTACAGCACCACATAAAACCAGCAAAAGCAACTCTTGCACTACATCATCCTTAGCCTTCCTAACATATCAGGATTGAGGAAAGGCTATTTGTACATGTGCCAATCTAAGTCTTTCAAAGATACTTTTCCCCCTTCTGCAGAGTCAAAAGTCATCTGAGAGATCCACTTCCACACTTGGGATCTCTGGAAATAACTCCTTCAGAGAAGTGGGGAATGCATTTAAACACGTACGCACACAGTTCAGCACTGCCAGAACTGCTATGAATTCAGTGATACACAGTACTTGACAGTGACAGCTCTGTAGGCGTTAACTTACTCATGACCAGCACTTTGATGAAAGCCACTTATAAAAACAGGAAACAAAAGTCGGGTAGATTTCAACTGTACAGCTATTCCAACAGAAACCCAGGGGGTAGCTAGTTTATTCCATTTTTGTCTCCTCTTCAAAAAGACCTGTTACTCTTCTCTCTTACAAGATAATGCACTGTTATTTGCACAGGGCTTGTTCAACACTATAACTGATAAAAGTTGGATTTGCTTCAAAAATGAGGAAAAACAAAACAGAAGGAGCACCCACTCCCATAATATTCTTCCAATAGTACTGAGGTTTACCATTAACAACATGTACTGCAGCTGCTCAGAAACTGGAACTCCAACAAAATTCCCTTTGGATGGGGAAGACCAGGTATTTCATGGGGAACGTGACCATTGCATTAGCTATGAAAAGGATCATCCAACCATGTTCTCCCTCCTGGAGGATATCCTGCCTGGGTAAGATAAAATTCCATTCGATGGGCTGTCTAACTGCATTGGTGACTCACTTCTGAAAAACTTCTTGGTTGGTTCACTGGCAACATAAGTTCACACCAAGTGAGTGATGGATGGCAGCATCCAGTCAGGGTCCTTGCTTGGTTACTGTCCTAAAGCATGAGAACAAGCAGTGACTTATGACTACCACTTGGACAAGGGGATTCAGCTACAGCACTGCATGGCCTATGTTCAATAATAGACAATCAGAGAAGAAAGGAAATATCTACTTACTACCTACAGATTCACTCTAGAAACCAATTAAAAAAGAAATAACCTGAGTTTCTTTACTTTCATCATTTTAAGTGTGCGAGTGTGAAAAGTTCTGTGCATATTTTTCACTTCTTGGGAACTAAATCCTGAGAGGAAATACAGTTTTGGAGGTCTTGATTTCAACCTCAGGGAGGTAGGAAGTATCTATCTTGATGTGCCTGGCAGCATTTCACTGCAGTGTATTCAGTTCAGTGGTGTGTTGCATCACTCTGGCGCAGGCAGCAGTCAGCTTTCCTCAGTCTGCTACCTCTTCTATCTGTAAACCAAGGACAAAACTAATCTACTCATCTCAAGTAAGACTTTGTATAATCCTTCAGTGGAAGGGCATTTATGAAGGAAAAGTGTCATTACTGTACTTCTTGTAGTCCAAGACTTTACCCCAGGTAGAGGCACAAGATAGTAACGCTTGTAATTACTTTAAGATCTAGAGATTCCCAGCTCTCTAAACAGCAATCTGGTAAAGATCATCCTCAAAAATCTTACAGCAGTGTTCTGTCTCTTTTCCCTTTGAAAGAAAAACAACAGTTCACAGAAATATGCAACAAACCACCTTCTCAAAATTACTACTGCAGTCACTACTGATGGGTGACTCTCCCGGATCTTGTTCATTTTTCATATCCCCACAGAGAAGCCAGAAATTGATATGGCTGGACATGGACTGTAGATCTCAATAGTGATGTCACCAATGCATGGCTCAGGAGGATCTAGCAGCCATCGTGTCATTAAGAAAGGACAGGTATCTGAACTCACTGGCAAAATAAGAGATGCCAGAAATAGCAGCTTTGCCTTCTTCCCCAGAGCTTTGCCAGCCCCTGGCATGCCTTTTTTGCGCAGCCCTGTGCTTGCAAGCCATGGAACGCTGTCCAGCTCCGAGCTGGCAAGGACAGGGGAGTGGAGAAACCCTGCAGGGGTGTTTGCTTTAATGTACATGCAATTATCAGAAAGCAGGACAAGCTCAGAATAGCCTGTCTAGAGAGGCTCAGAGTTTGTGATAAACAGGAAACATGGAGAAACATTTGCTTAATGGTTAAAAGGGAAAGGAATAAAGTGAAGCTTTCCTGTTGCACAAAAGCCAGGTCACATCACAGGGTCCCAACCAAAGCCAGGGTTACCTTATGCCATGGTAGGTTACTGACTGCATCTTGAAACTGGGGGAAACAGCTGTGAAAGGCTGTGCAGGGCAAATGGAGTTGCATTGGTAACATGTAGCCGTGTGGGTACCATGCAGGTGCCAATTAGAGGTTTTAAAAATCTAGGCAGGAGGCTGATTTGACAGGATGCTCCAGTGATTCAGCTAATGACAAAGTGCAACACGGGGGCAATGCGACCCTTAGAGGGATACATGCAATACTTTGCATCCCTTTCCTCCATCTCTATTTCACTCTTATTCTCACTCAGAGGAAATCACATCTCTCTGGTTTAAGCCCATCTCGTTGGCACAGTTTTCACTGGCAACAAGCGCTCTGCTGTCTTGCCTTTCAACTCAAAGGCACACAGGGTGCTAACTCAGAAGACAAGGAGGGCAGGTCAAGGGAGGCTGATAGCTTGTCTCAGTGAAGAAAGTTTCCTTTTTTCTTGCATTCATTTGCTCAATAACAATTGAGACACTCATGACCCACGTGCTGCTTGAAAAAGGAGGCTCACAGCTGCCTCATATTACTAGGCTGTATTTTATCTACCAAACCTGTGCAAGCACTATGCAACAAGCATTACTAGCTTTTTCTCAAAGAACACCTACAGGCAAAAAGCTGGGGGACAGCAGATGACATTTCTCCTCGGAAGCTCTGAAGTTCACCAGCAGCACACCAGAAAGCCGTCTTGTTCTCCACTGACTCCAGTAGCTCCCATATTGCTCAAAACACTGAGAAGCAAGTCTGGAGCTGCAAAAGTGTTGAGGGGCAGTAAAGCCCTGCAGGCTGCAAATGTGTCGTGCTGTTTTTCCTACTCACAGAGCAAAATGGTGGAGGGATGGTAGGAGTGGTAGGTTTTCCCATGAATATCAAGCTCTCTCTAATGTTGACCCTACTTTGTTTTGAAGTAACTAATAAATCACTTTTCAGAATGCATGGCTGTCCCTCAGTTACTAGAAACTCATTCCAGGACATGAACTTTTTCTGAATTCAGAATTATCTAGACTCAGTACGAACTTCAAAGGATGCAGAGATTTGTCTGCTCAACTAACTCCTCAGGCTAGAACTCAGGTTGGAAACCTTGTACCAAAGCACCTACTTTCTTCAACATCTGGCCTGCTGTGCAGTAATTTGCATTTCCATGATGAGAACACAGAAAGCAAATTACCCTGATACTTCCCTGAGTTTCAGAGGCAAATCCAAAGGTATCACATAGGAATAAACTAATATTGGGTTCTTCGAAAGTTCTGTGTTCCTGCCATAATAGAAATATCACAGCAAAAGACCTAAGATTTTATTAATTTGGTACTTATACTTTCACGGTATGTGGGACTGAAAGTTAAAAATGGTGAAAAACGCCTGGCTTTGGTGAAGACCATCTAGGGAATCTGTTTACTCTTGCCCATAATCACAGAATAAATAGGCTACTTCTGAAATCAGAAGAGAACAGCATTAAAGTTGAAATGGCTTT